TCCCCAACAAAATTCAAGACAAATACAATTGTGTTAACATTAAAACAATTATAAACAAAACAGGTTGCTTCCATATACACCTTGAACTCCAGTTAGGTGTCCAAACTAAAGCAGGGTCTTTTGGGACATTTACATATCATTGTTGGCTGATCATCCACAAGCCTGTTTTGATACAGTCCTTTTGGACAGATCACAGTTAAGGTGTGTTTGCATGGCAGGTGGACAGGGAGGCGTGCGTGTTTGCAGGCTCTGCTCATATTGGCAAAATTTTCCTTTTTCCTCCCCTGCTACCTCCCCCCCCCACTATAATGCTGCGGGGAGGTGTGAAAAGTCCACTTCCCAAGAGCATCTAAGATGGGGCAAACGACCGGTGTGGGAAAACCCAAGGTGCGCTTGCCTATCCAGCCACAGCAATGTGTATGGCTCCTGTCCAAACCAGTTCTTACCTTGTCAAATCCCTTGGCCGCTAGTTTTGCTCCAAGCTCCTCATTAATGCCATCAATTGCTGTAATAGGCTTGTCACCCATTGGTTCACACACAAAGTCCTCAAACGTCTTAGTTCTGATAGCCATGGTCTGGATCACCCGGAGAAGAGAGGAAGTAACTTGAATGTTTTGTACTGTTGGGATTTTAAATGGTTTTAATTATGTTTTATATTGGCATTTGCCCCTATGTAAGCCGCCCTGAGCCCGCATTGCGGGGAGGGCGGGGTATAAATTGAATAAAATAAATAAATAAGTAAAGGAGAAGGGAGGAAATACGAACAGGACATGACAGCCACAGGAGTATAACACTTTGCTTCATTTTTAAATAAATTTTTCATTAGTACTCAACCATAACTTATCCAATTCAATCGGATTGTCATAGAATCCCACTTTCTTGTCTATAGACCATCTTGAAATGAGTTGATTTTTCTCCCACCAAGTTAAACTTGCCCCTTGTTCTCTAAGGATATCATCTGCAAGCAAGTTTCCATTTGAATCCAATAGATCTTCATATCTCCATTTGGTATATTTAACATTAAGAGAAGGTTTTACAAATGCCTCTATTGGGGAATGTCATTTAGGTATTTTACTATAAGCGTTAACCTTTATCTCTTCCCAGACTTTATATAAAGCCGTTCTAATCGAATGTTGTTTAAAAAAGGAGGAAGTTTTATTGTACCAGAGAAAATAATGCCAACCCATTTGGAGATCATGCCCCTCAAGGTATAAGAGTCTTTTATCCTCTTGTATTATCCATTTCCTTATCCAATTTATTGCAGCAGCTTTATAGTATAACCGCCAATCTGAAAGAGCAACCCCCCCCTCTTTCTTTTCCTGTAAATACTTTAACTTAATCCTAGGTTTCCTGTCTTGCCATATAAATCTTTTTATTAACTTATCTATTTCTTTAAAAAAAATTGGTTTCTCAAAATCGGAATGTTTTGAAAAAGAAAAAGAAGACGGGGTAACACATTCATTTTTACAGTTGCAATTCTACCTAATAATGAAATGTGCAGGTTTTTCCAGTTTTCTCCTTTTTTATATCAGCCAGCAGTTTCATATAATTGTCATTAAACAACGAACAACATCTATTTCTCAGGTAAATTCCTAGGTATTTAACCTTCTTCTGTATGTCAAACCCTGAAATTTCTTGTAGTAATTTTTCAGTCATTGGATTGCAGTTTTTCAGCAATATTTTAGTTTTATTTTTGTTTATTTTCAGTCCAGCTACTTTACCATATTCATCTAAAATACGTAGTAGATGGCTCAAGGATTCTTGTGGGTCCTCTAAAATAAAAGCCATGTCGTCTGCAAATGCTTGCACTTTTATACTTTCGCCTTTAGTATATAGATCCTTAATTTCTTTTTCTTCTCTGATATGTGTTAGTTTCTAATGCGAAAATGAAGAGCAAGGGAGACAACGGGCGGAAGGGCAAGATTATTTTTTCTGTAAATATTAGGCATATTGATAAGGGTAGGAAGCTAATTCAGTTAGTAGCAGAGGATAGGGCTCTTAATAATGGGTTTAAATTATGGGTGGGGAGATACTGGTGGCATATCAGAAAAACCTTTTAAGAATGAAGGCCCTTCAGTGGAGGGATCAATTGTGTGGGCTCTCCCAGTTTGGTGTAGTGGTTAAGTGCGAGGACTCTAATCTGGGAGAACCTGGTTTGATTCCGCACTCCTCCACTTGCACCTGGCTGGATGACCTCGGGCAAGCCGTAGTTCTGATAAGAGCTGTTCTTGAAAAAGAGCAGTTTCTGTCAAGAGTTCTCTTAGCCACACTCCCTCACAGGGTGTCTGTTGTGGGGAGGGGAAGGGAGAGGAGTTTGTAAGCTGCTCTGAGACACCTTTGGGTAGTGAAGGGTGGGGTATAAATCTAATCCTCTTCTCTTCTCCCTCCTTGGGAGGTGTTCAAGCAGGGATTGGATGATTATTTGTCAGGGTTGCGTTAGGTCGTCCTGTGTGGTGCAGGGGGCTGGGCTGTGTGGTTTTTATGTCCCTTCCAACTTTTAAATTCTATTCTATGATAAGTGGGGGGGGGGGCAGTGGCTCCTGCTGCTTCCTGCCCCCAGCGCGGCCACCGTGTGTGTGTGTGTGTGTGTGTGTGTGTGTGGATTCTGCTCCTCTTCCCTTCTTGTCAGTTTCCAGAGGAGACG